TTAAAAAATAAAACAATCAATTTTTTCCAGTTCATCTGGATTTTCATTTAATAAATAAATATTTGTCGACTAACAAAGCTTAACCGAGGCAATCCGTTTGAAACCATGAAATGAAAGTGTGTTTTACGGTCAAATGCGTGGAATCATGAATGTACGTATGAATATTCACAATTACGCAATCAACCGTTCAACAATTTTCCGGAGGTGAAAACAAACTTGAAGCAGGATCGATGAAAACGGGCTCCAGCATCCGGGTGATGCCTTCCGGAGACACAGCTCTCGAACATTTCCCCGCCTCGCATACTTGTGAATTTAATATCCGTGGGAAATATTAAATTCGTCCGTGAACCAACATAATTCGCGTACTTTCGGCGAAACTAAACCGAGGCGTACCAAAATTGCCGATGAATTCGAGTTTCATTGTCTGGCAACTGGATGCCCCTAATTGTGCGTTCATTAACTCGGTGGGACAGCGGACCGTGTCGAATAGGCGTTTCCCTAATGTGGCCTACATAATCAAAAATGTTTGATAATGGGTTACGAAGCAACGAGGTAATTTCTTGATTACTCGCAGCTTTATCGAGCGTGTCTACCCACGTTGTTCACGGACCGGGAAATTAATATTCAACAGAAACTTTTGAATGACCGATTCTCGGTTTCCACTTCGTCATTCGCTACGCATTTTCATGCCAGCCCTTGACACCTGTCACTAAATTCCTAACGAACGTATACACGTTCCACTTCATATTAACGTTAAAAACAAAATTACTTAAGGATGTATTGGCTATACAGCCAATCCCAAAAGCTTATGTACCTTATATCCCTTTGGAAAAATCTCGGAAAAATAAAAAAGATTTTTTTGTTAAAATTTCGAAAAATGCTTCAAATAAAAGTTGCTTTTCTTCAAACTTCGATATTTAACGAGTTAATTATGATTAATCGGCATTTTATTCATACTGACAAAATCCGACCATTCCACCGTCGAATCAGCAAACTTTTGGCGAAAAATTTCGTTTTTCTTCAATTACTCCTAAACTGTTCAACCTACGGGAAAATTG